GAACAGTCTTTGTTATTGTTTTCTCTGCATGCCATGACAGGAGAATATCTGAGGGCATTCTCCAGGGACGACCTTCCTTCGTATCAGAAGGTACGCTTCCACCAGGGCAGCTAAGCACACAGCCTTCTACCACACATGATTCATGGTGGACATCTTAGTCAGTCCACACTCTGGTATTTGTTTGGTTTTGTTTTCCAGCAGTGCTTTGCATTTTCATATGCCCTGTCCTGTACATAACAACATGAGGTTAGGGAAATAAGAATGGGATTTTAGATTTGTCTGTATTAAGTCTCACGATGTCAGATTTGGCCTATGGTTCTATCTTAATGGCATCTCTTGGGATCCTGATTTGCTCTCTCAGTGAATTCACAGTCCATTTCAACTCCAGGATTCCCAGAATGCGGCAAGCTTGCCCGTTCTGCCCTTCTGCTGTAGAAACCTGTTCTACACCTCCCAACTCCCTCCTCAACCCCTGCCTTGGCCTCGAGCCATTCTCCTTTCCTGCATCATGGCCTCCAGGAATATTACCACACACCATCTGCACATCATCTGGTTCTTTTGGCCAATGCTCACTTGACAAGTTTTTTGGGCTTCAGTTTCCAGTACTGCGTTCTAAATTTGTATTTGTTTTCTTGGGAAAATGTATTCCTTATTCCTTACCCTCCCTTGTTTCCTGCATTCCTCTGCTCTGTACTTTCCACAATTGAAGAGTGCCATGACCATGTCCATACCCAACCTGGCTGTCTCTTTTCTGGGAGGAGAGGTCAGCTCCATACCTGAGAGCCAGGAGGATGGAACCAAGTTCTAGATGGAACTAACCTGGAACTGAGTGTGAGGCTTGCCAGTAGAGCACACTGTTCAGATTGACCCATTTACCATTGAGTACGGGTGTTTATACATGTAACCAACTCTACTAACCATATTCTTCGTTTTGCTCACAAGACAGATATTTGTGGATACTTACATGAAGTTCTGATTCACTAAATTCACAGCATTTAGCGGTGGTAATCTCACCATCTAATAAGCCCATCAAACAAATATTGTATGAGCTTCACCAGACCTCGCTTGTTCTTAGTCAGTTCATGCTTTCTTTTGGCAATTGCAGCTTCACTAAGTGCTGAAAGACTATCCCTGTCATCATTCATCTAGAATCGTTCCCATTCCCTCATCTGTGCTTGCAAAATCTTTTAAACTTGGTGATGGATGTGGAAACTGTCTGGAGGTATGAAGAATTAAGGCATGGCATTCTCCCCAGAGGTCTGATAGAAAGCTGAAGACACAGTGCAGTCTGGAAGAGTCATAGGGATGATCTGACTTGGTCATGTATCATTGCCTGGAGCAGGAGTATGATTAGCAGGCAGGCACTCAAGCTAGATCCTTAGGGCCTCACCACAAAGGTTACCAGGCAGCCATCAGGCACAGCATGGTTACTTTTCTAGCATAAAGAGACAAAGGTTAAACTAATGGAATGGTTCACACTGGAAAGCATTTTGGAGATCAGGTCGACCAGCGCTTACTGTGTTACTGTGCACCCAAGTCACCCAGGAAGCTTAGTCAAATGTGAATTCAAATTCAGTGGTTCTGGGGTGGGCCCTAATGTTCTGCATTTCCACCATGTTCCCTGGCGATGCCCTTGGCTCATGGGCCACACCTTGGGTCCCAGGAGTTTAGACTATACTG